AAGCTTGGGATCAAAAAATCAAATGTTATCTTTAAAATGCCAAGGCAATGATAGCTGCTTATGGTACATCAGCAAATTGAGATGACTACATCTCTGGAAACTTAAACACCCATTATCCATACCTTCTAACCCAGGGGTTTCAAACTTGGGTCGTCATGTGACGTAGTTTTCCCCTTCGCTAAACTCAGCGTGGGTGTGGCCAGCACGTGACGCATCCAGCCCATGGGCTGCAAGTTTGACACATCTGTTCTAACCCAATAAAGGTTAAAACATTTGCTGACAACTTACAAACTTCCCAATATCTAAAGATAAAGAGAAATAGTTGGGCTGACAAAAAATCATTAAATTGTTTACAAACAAGGAATAAATACAACATTCTAAGGTAAATTTAAGTTTCCTCTCTCCCTACACCAGGAGCCTATTTTCCATAGTTCCTGTATGCATTTTGGCCCTTAACGTGACTGATGAAAGTACAAGTAGTCCTCAATGTATGACCAAAATTGGGATCAGAATTTTCATTGCTAAGCAAGATGGTTTTTAAGGGAACTGCACCCAATTTTATGACCTTTTTTGCCCTGGTGGTGAAGGAATTAAATGAATCACATGGTTAAGGAAATCTGACTTCCCCCATTTTCTTCGTTTGTCAGAAGCCAGCTGGGAAGGTCTCAAAAGGCAATCACATGCCTCCAGGATGTTGCAACCATTGTAAATGTGAGGTAAATGAAATAAGTCATTTTTTTTCAGTGCCATACAGTAGTAACTTAGAACCATTGCTAAACAAATGGCTATAAGTCAAGGGCTAGCTATATTCAAGTTTCACAAAGACTCTGGACACATAGCTCCACCTTGAATTTCCTTAGGGAGGAGGCTGCCTCAAAGAGCTGAACTGCAATCTACTTAGCTTTGAGTCAGGGGAATTAGGCTAGCATAAATTTGCTCTCCCTGCTGCTGCTCCCTATCCTGATTCTATTTCAGAGCATAGCAGTCTCTTCATTTGCCTGGAAACACTGACAAAGCCTAATCAATTTCAGATATCTTGAGGCTGCCTGTGGTTAATGCCAGAATGAGAGGGAAAATGTTACTTCAGTAATAATACTTATTTTCCTTAATAGTCATTAAGGAAAACTTAGGAATCATGCATAGTACATACGGTATTTTTCAGACTAAGACACCCAAATTTAGAAGAGGAAATCAACAAAAGTTTTTGGCCCCTGTAGGCCCCATTTTTGGGCCTTTTTTCAGGCCTTTTCCAGCCTTTTTCCAGCCCATTTTCAGGGCTTTTTTCGAGGCGTTTTCTAAGCTTTTTTCGGCCCATTTTTGAGGCTTTTTTCAGGCCCTTTATTCCAAAAAAAGTGCCCCCCCAAAAAAGCCCTGAAAATGGGCTGAAAAAAGCCTTGAAAACAGACCGAAAAAAGCCTCAAAAACGGGCCAAAAAAAGCAGAAAAAAATGGGCCAAAAAAGCCAAAAAAACGGGCTGAAGAAAGCCCTGAAAACAGGCCAAAAAAAGCCCTGAAGGTGGCGTGTTGAGGCGAAAAAGTGGCCGGCGGGTGGGCGGGGATTCAGCAATATTCGGTCTATAAGACGCTCAGACATTTTCACCCCCTTTTGGGAGACAAAAAAGTGTGTCTTATAGTCTGAAAAATACGGTACATGTCAAGGGTAGAAAAGCTCCAATGATCAATAGACTGAATAAAAGTATGAAAACACCACAGGAAACTGTCAGTTAACATTGAACATATACTTTTTTCCAAATGGTCTTTCTCTTTTATCATTAAAAATAATGTTAATAATTTTCTGGTTAATAATATAAACACATTCCACAGAGAAATCTGAATTACAGGTAGTCCTCAATTTACGACCACAATTGAACCCAAAATGTATGTTGCTAAGTGAAAAAATTGTTAAAAGAGCTTTTCCCCATTGTACAACTTTTCTTGCTCTGGTTTGTTAACACTTAACAAACAAAGTGGTTTGTTAAGTCACTGCAGTTGTTAAATTAGTAACCCAGTTGTTAAGGGAATCTGGCTTCCCCATTGATTTTGCTTACCAGGATGTGATAAAAGATGGTCATATGACCCCAAGACACTGCAACCTAGTCAGTTGTCAAGCATCTGAACATAAATCACGTGAACATGGGGATGCTGCAATGGCATGAACCATGAAAAATGGTCATGTCACTTTTTTCAGTACCATTGTAACTTTAAATGGTCACTAAGTGAACTGTTGTAAGTGGAGAGCTACCTGTACTGTTTTTTTTTTAAAATGGAGTTCTGTCAGGCAAATGAAAAGCTTACTGCTTCAGAAAACGCGCACTTCCATTCACATTTTACTAGCACTAGCTGAACTTGTAATGACATGATCTCTGGAAAAGCCCTAAGAAATATGTAGCATTACCATCAATGCTTCATTCAACCATGACACACAATAGGCCCTAACTCTGCTTTCCGGGAACTCAAATGACTCTGCAATTTAAAAACCCCTAAAATATATAAAGTAAGAAAAAATCAATCATTTTCAAGCATGCACAGTTCGAAACAAAAGTACTTGCTTACTGTACAGCCCAGCAGCTGAAAACACTTGTTTCATTTGAGAAAATCTATTGGTGCCCACTGGAAAAAACAAACTGATGAGAAGGTTAGCTGCTAGCAAGAAAAATGCAGAGTGATGGAAAGAGAACACTAAGACAATGATACCCATATAGAGAAAACAACCCCAGCACACCATCTCCTAAGCAGGGTGCTAAGCAGCTGCTTCTGTCTCCCACCTGTCAACCTTGCTCAGTATTACATCTGTTGTAGCAAATCACTAAATTGCTTCCATCTTCAGTTAAAATTACATGGCTGTACTTAAGAAATTGCCAGCTTTCCGTTAGGTATTTGTACGTTGTCTAATACAAGACCATTTATTTCCTAGAAGGAACCGAAAATATTGGCAAATGTACTTCAACATTTTCTATTCAAAAAATACAAATTCTTCATTTTGAATAATCAGATTGAAATGCAATAATACAGGGGTGAATTGCTTTATGAACAAAAGAAATGAGTCTACTACTTTATACTTCCCAACTCATTTGTAAGTATGTACTATTTACTAAAATATGCCAGTGGAACCTGAAAAACCAAGAGTTTTCTTGGATAGCCATGGAGCCTGACATCCAGGGCAGCTCTCTCCCAGCTATACCAATCCCTCCCTCCACCCCCTCCCCTTTCAGAAATCATGCAATTCAGAATACTTAAGATGTAGAAAATCTTCATAGTTGGTATCTGTAAAAATGTAAAGAGGCCTATTTTTACAGCCCCAAAAGTAACTGGATAATGGATTTTGTCTTTTAAAAAATTAAAAAGATTGTATATTTGCAAACTCTCCTCAAATATGTATCTGTCTTGTATTACTAAGAGAATATAATCTCTTCTCACTCCAGAAATATTTGCATATAGCCTTAGGTCATTTCAGTGTCATCACTTCTAAATAGGGATTAATGGTTCTTTTAGGCTATTTACTTTGCTGCTGCCTCCCTTAAGGGTGTAACATGCTTAACAGTAGAGGCAGTGTCTGGAAGAGCAGATATACAGGTGCTAAACTGGCCTAAAGAACGAAGGCAGATTCATATCAATCACTTGCAGCTGCAATTCGAGCAGAGGCTTGCTCTAAAGGGTTTTTTTGGAGGGGAGGCAGGCATTGTTGAAATGTCTACAGAAGAGGCCAGCTGGCCAGCCATCTCCACCTGAACAATAAATAATAGTCCCCAATGTTATCTACATGCCCTGCTATTCATGCAGTATTTTTTAAATCAGGTTTTCCAAGTTCAGATTCAACACTGCACTGTTCCTGGACCCATAAATTCAGGCCAATTGACAGGGGGGACCCTTCTCCATTTTACACCCAAATATTAGTGTGACTGGAATTTTTTAATCTTAAAGGATGATCTAGTATTTTTTAGTTTTGTGCATTTCATTTACTTGCAGCCTATGATCATTTATTTGAAAACATTAAAATTTTCTGTGGGCTTGTATCAGTAGTGTATTTCGCACTTGAGATATAATAAGTATTCTTCATGTCAAGCTCCAACTCCTGATGATTTCATAGGTACTTCCAGTGGTGGGTTGCCCCCGGTTTGCACAGGTTCTATAGAACTGGTAGTAAAACCGGCGGGAGGCTCCGCCCACCAACCCTGACATCATCAGAATGCTTCTGTGCATGCGCAGAAGAGCATCCGCCCGCGAGCAAAGCAAGCATGCATGCGCGACCCCATTGCAAACCGGCAGTAAAGGTAAGTAGAACCCACCCCTGGGTACTTCCATGTTTTTTTTTATCACAATCCAGAAATGGCTTGTTATTGCGTTTTTACAAACTTTTAAAGCTAATCAGTTTAACTTCTGGACTACCTGGTGGTCTCTAACTCTGCTTGGTTTCTGAGATCAGGCAGGCTTGGCTGATCTCAGTACCACCAGCCCCCTAAGAAGAGGAAGAGTTGCTTAGGGACAGAGTACCAGTTTTAAAAGTAATAAGGCACACAGCCATTGATACCTCCTGCAAAAAGCATTTAGTGGAAAAAGATGGGAAACTCCTCTGAAGAGCAATTCTCATCAGAATAATATTTAACTAAATAGATCAGCAAACTGATCAGATATAAGGCAGTTGCCTATATTCCTATCAGAACACACAGATCTGCTTTTCAGATTCTTATAATTACATGTTTTGTCCGGGATATATTAACAGGCATCTGAAGATGCTAATGATTAAATTTGCATCAAGTATGCCCAGAAGATTTGTTAATTATTCTTTCCAAAGAAAAGTATAAGGCTTTTTCGAGGTACCAATAGTAGGCAATGCTGAACAGCTAAATCAAGAGTAGACAACCTGTGGCCATGCAGATATTCAGGACTTCATTTCCAATAGTCCCTTCCTTTTGACCATGTTGACTGGAATTAAAGAAATCCAAAACTTAGAAGGACATCAAGTTGCATATACTTGAGCCAAAGGATAAAGTTGTACTGTACCTTATGTTTCTTACTGGAGTCCAGATAAAGGATTTGACGTCTAGAAGAACAAGCACTTGTTGCAATATGCCCTTCGCCTTGCTGCTTCTACAAAGAAAAGTGCGGAAAGAAAAGTATATTTTAGGAGGATCTCCATTCTATGTAGTTCTGATTGCTTGCAGTAGCCCTTTTCTAATGACTTTTCAATAGTTCAGATTTGTTCTATTGAATGAGTAAGCCTACATCTATATTACTGCATATGCAGCAACCATTTGTGGAAATTTGGCTAGTTAAATAAACCATGTTTTTTAAAATCCTGAGAACCAACACTGGGGCCATGGAATCTTCCCACTCTCATCTACCAAGAAGTACTACCTACATTTTTCTATTTTATATAATTCCACTCCAACTCATACAATAGTGCAAATGACATATTTTACACGGATACACACACATCACACATACATACTTAAAAATGAGACATATCAATGTTGCTTCAGGAGACAGAAAACAGGATTCTTCTCTGAAGCATGCCTGCTTGTCCATACTGCATTTTGAGGACGAGGCAGAAAACAGAAACAAAAAGAAAATATGGGACAACATGAAAGCAATTTCAGGCAGTGTTTTTATCTCTTCCTTACCAGATAGAAAAGTTTTTCCTTATTATTTCCCAGATGCTTCTCTGCTGTTGAAGGACTGGGAGACCTCTGCCACTTTATCCATTCATCCTCTGCCCATTTTACTGGAGTTCCTTGGTTTTTCCTGCTTTCCTCCAACTGTTGCTGCCTTGGCTTGGCAGAATGGAAGCACTCCCCTTGGCTTACCCACTCTTTTTCCAAGGATGGCATTGGATGTACATGGCTCTGGGAGCTTTCTTGGATTCTTGGGACAGTCTCTGGTTTGATGGAGTGTGCAAAAGCTTCTTGGACCATCCCTTTCTGTCCAAAAACTGTAGGGTCTGTGGGGCTAAAGGACGTGCAACAACCCTTCCAGTCATTCTCCTTCTTAGGAGTGAAAGCAACTGAATGGTCTCTTTTGCTCAGCCCATCACTACTGGCACTGGCCCTTACACTCCTGGCTTCCCCTCGACTTTTCCAGTTATTCTCTAGGTGCTGCTGTGAAGCAACACAGCATCTTGCCTGCTCAAGGCATGTTTGGCTACTTTCCATCAAACTCCCAGGATTTGGAGAATGTCTGTGCTCTCTCATGCTGTTCCCATTGTCTTCCTTGCATCTCCCTGGGCTGCAAGAGTTTCGGATATCTCTTTTGCTTCTACTAGCAGATATTCCAGGACTAGAGCTATTCACAGTTGCACTAGGACATTTCAAACCGATTCCCATTTGTTTCCTAGGATTAAAAGAATACTTTTTCACTTCTTGGACTCCGGACTGATCATGCCCAAACCTTGAACAAACCAATGGCTGTCCCCCTTTCCCTCTAGCTGCAGTTTCACTTCTTGAGTCAACAGCACAAACAACTTCTTGGGAGTCTCTTCTGTCCTTTCTTGGCTGGTCAACTGTACCTATAAGGAGCAAAGGTTTTCCTCGTGCCTTCCGGTCACTTTCTTTATACCTATCTAGTTGCCTTGTGAGTCTTGCTTGATTCTTATCCAAAGTCTTTGAAGGATCAGCAGTATGCAAGGTACTTGGACTGCTTTTCCATCTAGTATCTGTGCCATTCTTCCCAGGGCTCTTGTGATGCAAGATCTCCGCTCGCCTCTTTTTATCATTATCCACTTGCTTCCCATGACTCGTAGGACAAAGGGCAACCCTTTCTGCACTGGAACTCAGACGGGACACAAGTTCCTCCAATTTCCTTCCTTCTCTCTCCATCTTCTGAGACGTTGAAGTTGCTGAGTACAGAGGCATCCTTCTACTTTGAATTTCTCTCTCCAATTGCTGATTTGGGCTCCTTAAATGCAAGGATTCACCATGGCTCTGGCTACTTATCTTGAGTTGCTGTTCTGCTCTTCCTATGCAAAGAGATTCTCTTTTCCTGGGCTGATCTAGCTCCTGTGGAAATCTTTTCTTTACCTGGAGAAGGGAAGGGAAGAGAACAAATCGTGCAAGGTATCCATTACAAACAGTTCAACTTAACATCAAGGTATCCATTGTAAACTTAACAAATTATCTTGGAAATTATAAATCCATTAGAAAAACATTTCTCATGTTGAAATTTATAGCTTGAAAATTCAATTTCCTACGGTGACTGTTTCCCTCACATGACTTTTTAATTTTCAGTAGTAAAACATCTCTCTCACTGTTGAATGCTCAATACAAGCCAACATAGTTTATTAACTAAAATAGAAACCCTATGAAGCTTGTTCTCATTAGTAGGGGCCAAATTAACTGCTTCATTCCACTTAATGGTAAAGCCATCCTTATTCTATCAGACCTGCTTGAATTTACCAAGATGCCTTTGCTGACAATGAATTAAAACTTCTGTGTAACCTCCACTGCCTTATAGTCCCAAGCAGAAATATTTAATTAAGGCAATGTTTTTAAAGGAAATGTATATTCTATGTTGCAAAAGAAGTGCTGTCATTGCTTTTATCACAGGAAATTGAAGATTCTCTAGATATTGTATAGAACTACACATATCATTGATGCCTGTGATTGGAAGTGTTGGGATTTGGAGATAAGCAACTAGCAAGCAACTATTTTTCAGGTGTTACAAAAAGAGATAGTGCTAGGGCTAAGCAGATAATAATAATAATAATAATAATAATAATAATAACAACAACAACAACAACAACAACAACAACAACAACAACAACTCGATAATAATAATAATAATAACTCGAGCTGCTGAGCTATTAACCAGCCTCAAAGGCTGTGAATCTCACTAAAGATTAACCAATAAATAATAATAATAATCACAAAGTACCGGGACTTACAAATTGAAGTTGAGCGACTGTGGAAAAAGAAATCGTGTGTTGTCCTGATTGTAATTGGAGCCCTCGGAGCAATACCCAAAGGGCTACCCCGCTATTTAGAAATTCTAAATTTGCCGGACTTGGAACATTTTGACTCTACAAAAAACCACCTTACTCGGAACAGCTTACATCCTCCGACGATACCTTAACAGTTCCTAGGTCCTTGGTTAGGACTCGAGCTGCTGAGCTATTAACCAGCCTCAAAGGCTGTGAATCTCACTAAAGATTAATTAATAATAATAATAATAATAATAATAATAATAATAGTAATAATAATAATAATAATAATAATAATAATAATAATAATAATAATAATTTTATTTCTATACCGCCCTTCTCCCGAAGGACTCAGGGCGGTGTACAGCCTATTTAAAAACACAGACAAAACAACAATATAAAATTTAAAATAATTAAATAAATTGGCTCAGATTTAAAACCCCAATAAATTTAAATACCCCAATTTAAAACTATTGTGTTGATAGTCCGGCCTGGCGGAACAACAGGGTCTTCAATGCGCAGCGAAACACCCGGAGGTCGGAGATCTTACAAATTTCCGGGGGCAGTTCATTCCACAGGGCTGGGGCTCCCACAGAGAAGGCCCTCCCCGGGCGTCGCCAGCCGACATAACTTGGCTGATGGCACCCTGAGGAGACCCTCTCTGTGGGAACGGACTGGTCGGTGGGAGGCTATTGGTGGCAGAAGATGGTCTCGGAGGTACCCGGGTCCTATGCCATGGAGCGCTTTAAAGGTGGTAACCAACACCTTGAATCGCACCCGGAAGACCACTGGGAGCCAGTGCAGCTCGCGCAGGAGGGGTGTCACATGGGCACAACGGGTTGCGCCCATAACCACCCGCGCGGCCGCATTCTGGACCAGTTGGAGCCTCCGAGTGCTCTTCAAGGGGAGCCCCATGTAGAGAGCATTACAATAGTCCAACCGGGAAGTAACAAGGGCATGAGTGACCGTGCGCAGGGCGTCCCGATCCAGAAAGGGCTGCAACTGGCGAATCAGGCAAACCTGATAAAAGGCCCCCCTGGCCACGGCCATCATATGCTCTTCTAAAGACAGCCGCGCGTCCAGGAGGACACCCAGATTGCGAGCCCTCTCCGTGGGGGGCAAAGATTCACCCCCAATAGTTAGCGATGGCACCTGCTGACTATATCGGGGCGCCGGAAGCCACAGCCACTCGGTCTTGGAGGGGTTGAGTCTGAGCCTGTTCCTCCCCATCCAGACCCGCACGGCCTCCAGGCAGCGAGACATCACATCAAGGGCATCGTTGGGGTGGTCTGGATGGGTATGCACATGCAAAAAACATTCTATTCTAAAGCTCAATAGCTCAAGATTAGGCTTTCCCAAGCTAACATCCTCCAGATTGGTTGGGATTGCAATTCCCATAATTCCCCAAGCATACTGATTAGGAATTCTTGGGACTACAATTTCAGCACATCTGGAAACCAGTAATGTAGGTCAAACAAAATGGTTAAGCATTAATTTGGTGGAGTTAGGAAAAGCAATGATTACTCATTGGATACTTTTCTAAATCTTCTGAGATTTTCTTTGACCTTTTCCACATGCTTACAGGCCTGCTTTGTAGTCCAGGATGCTAAAAACTATGTTCTATGTATATGGAAAGGTGTTCTAAAAAAGTAAATTCGAAATATTGAAGAGGCTTAAATTCTGCACTAGTAAAGAAATTTGCAAAATATATAGAACATTCTCAATAGTCCAGGAAAGTTCACATAGTGCAATCAAGAAACCAGTATCAGATTAACAGGTCAAGCAGGTTATTCTGAGCTTCTGACCTCTGACCATCCCATGTCCTTGCTGCCCCCAGTGATTACTATCAGTACATTTAAAACAAACAACAAAAGATTATTTTGTAAAGATAAAGTAGTTGCCTATATCACGTTGGTTCATACATAGTGGCTATTTTTCAGACCTCATGTTCACATCTATTATTACACGAACAGGCATGCCCTGGGACTGGGCCACTGGCAGTCACCACTAGCAGTTGAGGAAATTAAAATATAGGTTTCAACTATTTTTAGTTGCCATGCCCACACATGAAAAAGTGTTCTGCCATCCTTTGGCAAATGAAATGGCAAAGCAATTTCTTCCCAACACCACATTGCAAAGATTTATATAAGGGAGAAATCTGATATCCTTGCAAAGTTAGCACATCAAAGGGAGGGTTAAATTGGTTTGCTTCTCCCTTGCACCATGGTGAATTTTGTGCAACCAGGAAGAGTTTGTTACCAAACCATTTTCAAGGTAACAACTCTTATGTGCTTAGAAGTGGTACAATCTTCAGCTGTCGTGGACTGGTCTGTTCCTCGGTATTCTGCCCCATAGTTGAAAAACAAAGCCGAAAAAGCAAGAGTTTCATTCTTCAAGGCTGACCATCACAGAAAGCAAGGCAAATGATGGAATGCAACATTGAAAATATATTTTTCTTCTCCCCCTTCAATAACCAGCTGTTAAATGAAAACTGAGATTCTGTCAGTGGACCAGCCACTCACTTCTCGGCACAGGGTGGGGCTCGACCGCCTTCTGACTAATCGCCCTTCCTTGGCCAGCTTCAAGGACTTGCTATCCAAACGTTCCAGGAGGCCCTCTTCCAGCGCCTGGAACACTTCCAGTGTCTCTGACTTCCTAACAACCAAAAACAAAAAGACAGTCTTCAAAAACAACTGCAATAACCTACAAAGGATCTCCACATTCAAATACAGGGATAATATGAACATTTACACTCCAGCATATGTTTTTAATATTATTTCCAATACCTGTAAAAACTTTTCCCTGTCTGGTAGCCTTAAGCCATGTTTGATCATGAAAGCCATTATTCTCCCAAAGTCAAGTGTATCTTGGTATAATACAGTGGTGACATCCACATTTTTTTACTACCGGTTCTGTGGGTGTGGCTTGGTGGGCATGGTGTGGCTTTGTGGGCGTGGCAGGGGAAGGATACTGCAAAATCTCCATTCCCACCCCACTCCAGGGGAGGATACTGCAAAATCTCCATTCCCACCCCACTCAGGGGAAGGATACTGCAAAATCCCATTCCCATCCCACTCTGGGGCCAGTCAGAGATAGTATTTTCCGATTCTCTGAACTACTCAAAATTTCCGCTACCGTTCTCCAGAACCTGTCAGAACCTGCTGGATTTCACCCTGGTATAATAGGTATGTAATAAAGACAGTCTTTGATTTATGACCACAACTGAGGCCAGAATTTTGGTCAGAAGTCAAGTCACCACATGAGTACCCTCAATTTTATGACTATTTTTATGATGATTGTCAAGCAAATCACTACAGTCAGGAGAGAGGATGAGTCTGTGTGAATGGCAGGTGAGAACACATAGCTCCATTTGCACAAGCATACCCCCCACTCGCACAAGGGGAGCTGGGCATGCATGCTCAGCTGCTGCTGCTGCTACATACAACATACATACATAAAATAAATAAATGAATAAATGAATAAATAAATAAAAATAAATAAATAAATAAATAAATAAATAAATAAATAAATAAATAAATAAATAAATAAATAAATAAATAAATGATTTTATTTCTATACCGCCCTTCTCCCGAAGGACTCAGGGCGGTATACAGCCTATTAAAAACACAAAGACAAACATCAGTTAAAAATAATTAAAATTATTACATAATTTCGGCTCAGATTTAAAACCCCAAAAATTTAAAACAATTTAAAAGAAGAGCTACGTGCGTACTCGCCCACAGCTTCCATGGTCCAAATCTGAATAGACTGCAGCCCAGGGCTTGGGGATCCCTGCTATAAAAGGACTAAAAGGAATGTTTTCCATATTGTCATAGATGAAACTTTGTAGTAATAGCAATAGCATTTAGACTTATATACCATTTCACAGTGTTTTACAGCTCTCTCTAAGCGGTTTACAGAGTCAACCTATTGTCCCCAACAATCTGGGTCCTCCTTTTACCCACCACAGAAGGATGGGACGCTGAGTCAACCTTGATCCTGATGAGACCCAAACTGCCAAACTGTTGGCAGTAATATTGTTAGCACAAAGACGTATCTAGTTCCTATGCTTGTAACTGAGAAAGGATGCAGCATCTCTTACCTGCGTTCCTGCCCAAAAATCCGTTCCACCTCTGCTCGGCCTGGACTCCGAGCACGTCTGTGCTCTTTTTCAAAAGCCTCCTGATGATGGAGCCGTTTTGTCTTGGGTAAGTCAGCCAAGATTGTATAGTTCTGCTTTATCAGCCCACACCGGCCCTCACCGCTGCCACCCTTGTGCCAGTTCAGCTCTGAATCTGCCAAGCTGAGGGAGGAAGGAGTCCACTTGCTTGCTCCTGTGGCATTGCTAGGGGCAGGCAACATGCTATGATTAGGACAGGAAGCAGAAGAGATCCAATTTGACTCTGATTTACAACACTCCAAAGAGAAATAGCCACTCTCAGCTTGATGCTTCCTCTTGCTGTCCCCACAATCCTGGCTCAAAGCCCTGTATTCTAAAAGGAAGAAAAAATGACATGACAAATTGTTCAAAAAAGGTGCACATCTTTAGGAAGAATACAGTTCAAAAGCATCTCTGAATAGAGTTGCTTTTAAGACAGAATTGGGAAACACAGACCCCAAAGGACTAACAAAAAACATTCTGGCTTATTCTTTATCAGAATCTTCTAATACAATGATGGAATAGTGTTATTCCAGACCAATTGTCCTCCAGACATGTCGAACTACCAGTTTCTAAGCCTCAGCCTGCCTGCCCCTTGGCTATGCTGGCTAGTGAAAACATGAGTTACAGTCCAAATGTGTAAGTGATGCCAGTTTGGTGAAGCCTCTTTTATTATCAATTACGCTTGTTGATGGCCAAACTGACATAGCAGACCCTTCTGCCCAATAGAAAGCTTAATTTAAAAATGCATATGAGACTAGGGAATTTAAAAACAACCTTTTGGCATTTGCCTGGTGAGCAAAAAGGAAAGCCCTCATTCCCCATCTAATAGTTTTAAGGTGGTTGAAAGGACCTGTGAGTGGATGAGGATAAAGACGGTTTTGACTGGTCGCAGTTGAAGCTTTTCCATCATCACTCAGGACAAAATAAGTCTTCACCATCAATGAGGAGAGTAAGATGAAAAAACAGACAATCTTTACAAAGAAGATTTGTAATTGAAGATTTTGTACACTGAACTAAAGCAATGTGCATTCCATTTCTCCACGAGGCCATTCCATGAATAGACTCCAGTTTCTAGCTCTGAGATATGATCTGCAGAATGCCAGTTTTCAAAGAAGGGAGGGAAGAAGTATTTCTAAGTCCCTGGTCCAAACTTGTTAACACACTGTATGGAAATATTACTGAATAAATACATATTAGTATTTACAGTAGTAATACAAACACTACTTAGAAATCCAATGAAGACAGGGCTGGGCTTTCACTGGTCAAAGGGAAAGACTTTAGTGCCCAATACTGATTCTCTTCCTCCAAAATTTTCTTATTTTTTTCTGTCTTCTCTGGAAGGTTATTTCAAGTTTTTAATCTGCTTCTTAATATTACTTTCTTTTGCAGCTTCTGGGTAAGGATCAAAGGCAAATTCCTTGTGTGTCCAATCACACTTGGCCAATAAAGAATTCTATTCTATTCTATTCTATTCTATTCTATTCTATTCTATTCTATTTCTATTCTATTCTATTCTATTCTATTCTATTCTATTCTATTCTATTCTATTCTGATTGAGTTAGACATTCCTGTGAGTGGGGATAACATCGCGGCAAAGATTGGCAGCCAGGCAGCCAAGTTCTGATCAACAAAATTTTCCCCGAGAAGAGATCAAGAGATCATCCACTTGCATTCCAAAGTAGAGGAAGAGGCCACAGGAATTAAGCTTCTTGAGATCAATCATAGGTTGAGTGGCTTGGAACTTGAGGGATTACTACTGCACTCAAAAACACTGTGCATCCTTTATGGACACTTGACTTTCTAAAGCCTCATTTAAAAAAAAACACTTTTGGATATAAGAGAGATTTTCTAAGCAACAAGAAAGAATAAAAACACTCAGACAGTTGCCTTCTTTTTGGAATTAAGAAGTGGGGAAAAGAACTAATTTTGATTTAAAAGCAAACAATTTAAGATTGTGATTTAAATTTTAAACAGATAAAGGGGACAATAATTTTAGAAAATATAAGAATTGTCTTTGACATCTCTTTAAAAATAGTAAAATTAACTAGACAACCAGATTGAAACTTCATGGGAATATTGATTATTTATTAAGGAAATTAGATACTTGATGGATTTTACAAAATAAGATAAGTGTAATATGAGTCGGATTATGTGACTGTAACTATGGAGAGCTAATTAGGACTAAAGTGTTAAAGACAGAGAGAGAAAAACAGGAAAAGTCCCCAGGGTGGACAACTATTACTCACCAAATTAAGCTTCTACAGAGGTAGTTCTCTATGTTAACAATGAGAGAGATAGAAATAAAGATGAATTATGCAAAACAAAAAAAGTTGAATGTGCAAGTAAATCAGAGAAATTGCTGGCTTTGTTGTGAAAAGAAAAATAAAGTAATACTAAAGTTACAAGAAGGAAATACTGTAATAACAGATAATGCAAATATGCAGAATGTTTCTCCAGCATTGTTCTACTCTATATAAAGGGCAAGAAAAACATACTAAAACAAGAAAGGCAGCTGGCCCAAATGATCTGCAGGCCTCTTATTATAAATGTTTTGAGGATGAATGTTTACAACATTTACAACAATCAATGAACATTATTCTACAGAATGGAAAGATTCCTGACAGATGGAAAGAGGCCAACGTAGCACCACAGGGTTATAGAAAGAAGAGGATTATGATGTAATTTTACAGAGAAGTTTGATTAGAATTGTATGTATGACTGCCAAGAGGATGATCAGAAGCCTTTTCATGTTTTCCATTTTGTTCTCTTCTTTTCTCTATCTTTTTTCTATATTAATTATCTTTTTTCTTTTAAAAGTACTTGTATATAAACTCTTTTAATAAAAACTATTTTAAAAAGTATTATTTCCTTTGCCCTTCAACCACCTCTAACCTGTCTAAAACCTTCAAGTTCTTTGAAACCTAGATAGGGCTTTCCAAACAACCGTATAGTATTTCCTGACTACTATTTGAAATCCAATGTAACAGAAAGTTATGTAGAGTAGAGTAGAGTAGAGTAGAGTAGAGTAGAGTAGAGTAGAGTAGAGTAGAGTAGAGTAGAGTAGAGTAGAATAGAATAGAATAGAATAACAGAGTTGGAAGGGACCTTGGAGGTCTTCTAGTCCAACCCCCTGCCTAGGCAGGAAACCCATTTCAGACAAATGGTTATCCAACATTTTCTTAAAAACTTCCAGTGTTGGAGCATTCGCAATTTCTGGAGGCAAGTTGTTCCACTGATTAATTGTTCTGTCAGGAAATTTCTCCTTAGTTCTAAGTTGCTTCTCTCCTTGATTAGTTTCCACCCATTGCTTCTTGCCCTCAGGTGCTTTGGAGAATAGCTTGACTCCCTCTTGTTTGTGGCAGCCCCTGAGATATTGGAACACTGCTATCATGTCTCCCCTAGTCCTTCTTTTCCTTAAACTAGACATACCCAGTTCCTGCAACCGTTCTTCATATGTTTTAGACTAATACATCTGGAAGGCACCATATTAGGGAAGATTGATATAAATGATGGAGCAAAATTAAGTGCGTGCATGAGTTGAGAGAGAAAATAATTTTTATTTTATTTATAAAATAAATAAATAAACATTTAATTTTATCTGAATACAGATTTGTTTTCTTTGTGGAGCACTAGGATAGGACTCTTTTTATGAGTTGAATATTTCCTAAAAAATAAGGTCAACAGAAAGTTGTTGGTGATAAGAAAACATACCTGGTTTTAGACAACTCCAGGATACTGTTCTTCTACAGGATGTTGCCTCAGCCCATCTGTGCCTATCAGAGTGCAAGTTTTCAGACTGTACCTTTTTCTTCAGACTTGCGATGTGTAGTGAGTTTTCTTTTTCAGATTCCAAAATGTTGCTGAGCAGTCTAGTCATTTCCTGGTCCTAAGAGAACAAGAATTAGCATGTCACTAAAAAATCCCTACCAAGAATCAGATTTATTCATGTACTTATATTTCATAAGGCGAGAATATTGAAAAATAGTGAGGTTGCAGGTACCGGTATCTGAAGGACTATTGAAATACTGATCTTTTGCTTGTGGAATGGATATATTAATTTAGTTTAGTTTATTGTCACTGCAAGTGGTACAATGAAATTAAACGCTGTCTTCAGTGTACATTATAACTATAAAAACACAAACATACATCTTTTACATTCTATATAATTGAAATTGAAAACCCGATATTGCACTATACTGTAACATTCAATATGGTTATTGCCCTGAAACAGTTGTTTTTCAGCCTATTTGTCTTTGTTTTTATTATCCTGTACCGTCTGCCAGATGGTAATAGTTCAAAAAAAAGGGTACAACTTGTTTAATGTTTGTGTGAAGGACTACATCAGGACCTGACAATTAGAATAATGTTATTTCTTTTGAAGAAAAAGTTTTTAAGAGTGAATGCAACCTCTACTAGGGTTTGGTTTGTTAATTCTGCCTGCAAAAAATATTTTTGCAAAATTCTGAATGGAAGGTTTCCAGAAGAGTCCATGAGCAAATTTTGGGAAGCACCATATCTGTACCAGGAGAGAATGTGCAGACTCTGCCCTTCAGGTCACTGAAAAATGTGTGAATGGAAAAAAATTTGTTGTACATTTGTTGATTTAGAGGAAGCATGGTAAACAGAATAACGTTAAGTATGGAATTTTTTGCATACATATGGACTAATAGATTGTTAAAACAGATATGAGAATTGATATCTCACATCACTAAGGATGGCATTGCCATCTGCATCAGTGCTGGGCGTACTGCTGGCATCAGGGCATATATTTTCTGCTTTGGATTCTTCATTGCTGCAGTTGAGCTGGGTGTACTCCACGTTTTCTTGCCGGCTGTGGGGTAAGCAGAAGTGAAAACAATGAGAATCACCAACATTTCATGTACAGTGAATAGAATAGAATAGAATAGAATAGAATAGAATAGAATAGAATAGAATAGAATAGAATAGAATAGAATAGAATAGAATAGAATAGAATAGAATAGAATAGAATAGAACAGAACAGAATAGAATAACAGAGTTGGAAGGGACCTTGGATGTCTTCTAGTCCAACCCCGTACATAGGCAGGAAACTCTACACCACTTCAGACAAATAGTTATCCAACATCTTCTTAAAATCTTCCAGTGTTGGAGCATTCACAACTTCTGGAAGCAAGTTGCTCCACTGATTAATTGTTCTAACTGTCAGGAAATTTCTCTTTTGTTCTAAGTTGCTTCTCTCCTTGATTAGTTTCCACCCATTGCTTCTTGTCCTGCCCTCAGGTGCTTTGGAGAATAGCTTGACTCCCTCTTCTTTGTGGTAGCCTCTGAGATATTGGAACACTGCTATCATGTCTCTCCTAGTCCTTCTTTTCATTAAACTAGATATACCCAGTTCCTGCAACCGTTCTTCATGTTTTAGCCTCCAGTCCCCTAATCATCTTTGTTGCTCTTCTCTGCACTCTTTCTAGAGTCTCCACATCTTTTTTTATATCGTGATAACCAAAACTGAATGCAGTATTCCAAGTGTGGCCTTACCAAGGCATTATAAAATGGTATTAACACTTCACATGATCTTGATTCTATCCCTCTGTTTATGTAGCCTAGAACTGTGTTGGCTTTTTGGGCAGCTGCTGCACACTGTTAGCTCATATTTAAATGGTTGTTCCACTAAGACTCCAAGATCCCTCTCGCAGTTACTACTATTGAGCAAGGTACCACATATACTGTACCTGTGCATTTTGTTTTCCTTGCCTAAATGTAGAACGTTACTTTTTTCACCATTGAATTTCATTTTTTAGATAGCGCCCAATGTTCAAGTCTGTCAAGATTTTTCTATATCTTAAGCCTAACTTCTGGAGTGTTGGCTATTCCTGCCAGCTTGGTGTAATCTACAAATTTGATGAGTTCCCCATCTATCCCCTCGTCTAAGTCATTGATGAAGATGTTGAAGAGTACTGGGCCTAAAACAGAGATTTGGGGTATACTTCCCTCCATTTGGATTGGTGTTCCATTGAGTTGTAATGTTAAAGAGCTATGCCTATAATAGAAACTTGCTTAGAAGGCTCAGCCTTGCTTAAAAAAACCTTGTAAAGGTGCTCAAAATCAATGGTTATACCAATTAGTTAATGTGAATCTCCAAATTTAATTGTTTTTATTTGGTGATGGCTTTACTGACTTGTGTTACACAAGGCTGATGCATTTGGAAGTTCTTCTACTCATTCTGCCAAGTGAAATTCTATATTTTGCCCTGATGTTCTGCTCCTCTATCATCCTTGGTTTACTATTAGAACCAAAAATGAATGTACTAATTTCACTGCTCTACTCATAGTTGTCTGAAGGAAGAAGGATGGATGGATGTATCCTATCAGCCAAAAAAGATGTAAGGTTGCAGTTTAGGTGGGAGAAACGCTATATAGAATCCAACCAGCAATGAATTTTATTACTTGCATGCAAATAATTCCTTCACTAGCACCATTCTCTGATCATGCTAAAACTGAAATACTAGGTTTTATTTTATCTTTATTTATATCCCACTTTTATTATTTTTACAAATAACTCAAGGCAGTAAACATATCCAAACATATCTTCTTCCTCCTATTTTCCCCACAACAACAACAACCATGTGAGGTGAGGTGAGTTGGGCTGGAAGAAGAGACTTACCAAATGTTTTAGCTTCCTGGAAATTTGGATGATGTAAGGGAACTATACATCAACAAATAGTCATCTCTTATATAAATATTTACAAGTGTCTCAATAAAAATAACATTGAAAAGAATGTTTGCATACAATATGAACAGCCAATTAAATGGACCATACTGGACATCTTCCCCTTATCAAATATTCCTGTTCAATTACATATAAATTACGTGTTTTACTAATAAAAAACACTTGAAATTAACATATCACACATTAAAAGAACCGCTTCCAACATTAATTTTTTCCTTATGGTTAACATCAGTGTGGAATTCAAATTTTTTTACTACCAATTCTGTGGGCGTGGCTTGGTGGGCATGGTGTGGCTTGGTGGGCATGGCAGGGGAAGGATACTGCAAAATCCCCATTCCCTCCCCACTCCTGGGAGAAGAATATTGCAAAATCTCCATTCCCACCCAGCCAGAGGTGGTATCTGCCAGTTCTCCAAACTACTCAAAATTTCCGCTACCGGTTCTCCAGAACCTGTCGCAGAGGTCTTCAAACTTGGCAGCTTTAAGTCTTGTGGACTTCAACTCCCAGAATTCTTCAGTCAGCATAGCTGGCTCTGACCTGTCAGAACCTGCTGAACAGCACCCCTGGTTAACATGAAAAGAGTGAGCGGCTGAGAATAACCAGTGATATCACAGAATGTGAGATAAAAATAGTGGATTCTTCTGTTTACTTGTATCTCAGCAGAAAATGAATTACATTTTGATTTTTTCCCAAAAAGGAAAAAAATACTATATTGCCAACTTAAAAAATAGTTTTAAAATGTTCTCAACACTGTGAAGTCACAGCTGCCAGAACTTTAATAGGTGTTGACCTTCATGTCCATCAAGTTCTTCCCAACAACCTAAGACAGTGATGGCTATCCTGCCGTCGCGTGCCCAAAACGGGGGGAGCACGGGGGGTCATGCACATGCGTGCCCACACCCATAATTCAATGCCCCCCTGTGCCCTGCCCCCCCCATGCACACGGGACCCCCTCCATGCTCCCCTCACTTTTGGCACATGACGGCACAAAGGTTACCAGTGGGCCTGGTAGGCCTGTTTTTCACCCTCCTCAGGCTCCAGAGGCCTTCTTGGAGCCTGGGGAGGGCAAAAACGGCCTTCCCACACCCTCGGAGGCCCTCCGGAGGCCGGAAACCGCCCATTTCCCGACTTCCGGTGGGTCCGGAAGGCCTGAAAATCAGCTGGCCGGTGAGTGCATGCATGCTGGAGCTGAGCTAGGGCAATGCTTGTGTGCCCACAGATATGGCTCCGGGTGCCACCTGTGGCACGTGTGCCATAGGTTCGCCATCACAGACCTAAGATATTGTAATGTATCAGCATGGTATATTTGTGGATCCAAACAGTGTGGCCTTTTGCAATTGATAGATGAAAATTTTAACAATACACAGAATTCCTAAGTGCTGTCCAATTTTTTTGGGTATGGCACCCAGTGTGCTAACAACAACTAGGACCACTACAGCCAGTTTATGCCATTATCTTTCTACTTCTATTTTCAGATCTTAATACTTTGTGATCTTCTCCAATTCTTAATATTATTATTAAGAAACCATTAAGAAATGGTTTATTGTTTTCTTCCTAGGACTAAGAGTGAGTGACTGGCCCAGGGTCACCCAGCTGGCTTTGTGCCTATGGTGGGATTAGAACTCGCAGTCTCTCAGTTTCTAGCCCACTGCTTTAACCACTACACCAAACTGGCTCTCATGTGTATTACTTTATATCTAAGGCCTGTGGACATTATGCAAAATCACATGTTGTCTACCATATAAAAAGTTTGTTCATCCCTTTTGAAGCTTGAGCAGGAAACTCTGTATGCCTACTGAAGCTGTAAATTTCAAAAATAAACCATCATTTGTCTCACAAATGCAGTACTTACCTTTCTCTTCTGTCTTCAGAGCCCACATATAGGTAGACCTTACACTGGGATGCTAGAATGCACAAGGGGTCCCATGGATCACCAGGATCAGAGTCTTTGGTACTAGCAATACAATTAGGAAGGTTTATGACATCTTTTCTGAATACCTGTCAGGAAGAATGGAGAAGCTATAAAACATGGGCACAGAGGTATTTTATTGCTTCTTCAGCAGCTCTCGAGAGGAAAGACAGGGATTACCTTCTGAAAACAATTAAAATCATCATTATTCAATGAGCCTGTGGCCTCTGTTGGTTTGATTACAGGTGCCCATCTTAGTATTTTGATCAGATTATTTAGTTATCTGATTTTATTTTAATTCAGTTTGTTGTGTTTTATAACTTTTGTTTTGATGTGTTGTAGTGCATTGCCCAGAATCCTTCAATACAGGTAGTTCTTGATTTATGACCATAATTGAGCTCAACATTTTTGTCACTAAGTGAGAAAGGTTGATATAATCTAACAAATAAGGAGGCCTAGAATGAATTTTGAAAATACTGAACCAAAAAGCTCATAGAACAAAAAATATGAATATCACATTACCAACACTGGTCTCCAGCACCAGTCAACCTGCTTTGGCCATTGGTGCCTACCTTTCTTCAGAGGGGATAATTCATCTGATCATTTAAGATAGTAATCTAGGGCCCACAACACATTTGCAATACAGCTTTCCCAGGCGACTTCCCAGCTTTCCCAGCCCAGCCGACAAAGAAGGGGTACAAGATCTATAGTCCAAAATACCTGGAGAGAGGCCATGCACTAGCTACTTGTATCGCATATATACCACTTTATGGACACATCTTTGTCTGGCACTATTTCTAAGCTCTCACTCAGGCTGCACTCATACTGTGCAAAGCCAAGGTTGCTGAATAAGCGATTAGTTGGGTTCACACAACACCAAAGTCAAAACCAAATCAACCAATACAGCTTCATGTAATGTACAAACCCAATTAGAAGGTACTTTTTTTTTTTTTAGCTTATGCCAAGCTAATGGAATAATTGTATACTGAAGGTTACAATTGGCCACCCCAGTTCCAATTCTGCAGACACTGTTAAACCACAGATTTGCTAACTGTAGCTTGGGCCTTAGGTGGAAATTACCTGACTCATAGGCTGCATTCACATAACTCAGAGCCATAAACCACTATTTAGAAGTGAAAATCAATCATATTATGGTTTAGCATATGGTTCCTGATCAAGCCCATGGTCTACCAAGGATGAACCATCTAATGAGAAATATTTCCCACTCTGCTCCAGAGAAATGGAGTGGCTAGCAGCAGGGGTGTAGGTAAATCCTCCTCTTCTACTAAGATCCTAAATTGAATTTCAAATGTGCCTGTCCCTTTAAGAGCATCCTATTGCCTTATTCAGCTAGAGAGCCATCCACCACCTCATCCCAGTCATGTTACCTTAACAGATTTTGATCAGCAAAGGGTGGGTCCCTAGCAGACTGGCTGTCAGCACCTCCATTTCCCTTCCATTGTCCTGCTGAAGCGCAGGACGACTGGCTCTGGGCTGCACATAGCTGCGCCAGGAGGAAATTCTAGAGGGCCAGGACTGGAGAGAAGAAACCTCATTACTATTTCATAATCCTGGGCTGATGCAGCCCAGTGAACAAGACACAATATAAACCCCATTGTTTACAGTATACAAGTTGGCACTCTATAAGGAGGGACGGTGCTGACGTTCAACCAGTCAGTCTACACCAGGCCAGAAAGCATCCTACAGCACTACAGAAAATATACAGGGCAGGTTTCACCTGCTGAATGGCTGCCTGCCACGCAGCAATTAAGGACACAGAGTTCCTAGCCCTTTAAGAAAAGAAACCTATTGGGATCTCCTCAGTAAGAATCTGAGCTGTCATTTTCAGCCACTGACACTCCTAACCCAATTTTTAATTTATCATTAAAAGATTCTATTATTTTTTACTAAAGGTTAGAATTTTATAGATATTCCACATTTGCAAAGAGCGCTAAAGCAAGCAAGCAAGCTATGGGCAAGGAGTGTTCTTTCCTTTCTTTTGGCAAGCCACCATTGTTTGAGGAAGTGCTGGGGCTGTGACAAGAGTAACTTCTCTGCCTTCGTCAGGATGCTCCAAAACAGGAACATAGAGGATAATCACTTCTGATACTTTCAGCAGCCTCTCCCCACCCACTTAGCAGTCTTTAGCATGCTACCTGAGATTTGGGGGAGAAATCTAAGCCCTCTAAGAACACCAGGTGGAGGAAGGTTAGCTTACAGTCTGAATAATGAGCCTTCTGGTATAACAGGCAGTTGCAGAAAGCTGAATTTCAGTAGATGCAATGCTGTAAGAATAATTAAAAGGACATTATTTTCAATATTCCCACTTCATGTTTCTGAAGGTAGCTGAAGGAGCATGGCTTGCTGCTTCTATGGCCAAAGAATCCTGGTGAAAGCATCTATCTAAACAGAAGTCAAAGGAATCCGGAGAGAACGAAAGGAAAGAGAATAAATCCCAAATACAGAACAGCCAGCAATCCCAACTGAGGGATTGAGAATAGTTTATGAAGAAAATGCCCCATCATCTAATTCTTCTGGTGGGAGCAATGGAAAGAAGATAAGGCGATTTTCTCCCTAGGTATTTCGACCACAACAACCTCCACTATCCCAAATGTAGCATAGGATCACAGACCAGCACACCTAGAATATTCTTGAGGGAGAGGAGAGACAGCAAATATTCAAAGTCATCCTGGCTTCTTTGCAGTTCTGAAAAATAGGTAGATAACTTTGGAGAAGGCCTCTCAAAGGTTTTGAATCTGAAGTCACTTGCCATTTTTCATATTGGCTGAGAATGATAGAGTTGGAGTCAATATATTTGGAGGGCACTAAGTGCTTACTCCACAATTGTTTATTTCTAAGATAAATCACTTAGCCATTGTCACTATTACAGCATACATTTTCCTTCTGTGACATGTCTATTGAACCACACACCTGCTTTAAATGTACCACCTTTCTTATAATCACTCTGCTAAGTATCCAGAGTTTGAACCTTTCTGCGTTTCAAATGAAGAATTCCATAGATACATGTCCATTCTTTCAGATCTGGCAAGACATCACTATATTCCATCCCTTGATAGCCCACTCTTTAAGATACCTTCCATCATATATTATCACAGTGCCTGTAGATCATTCCAGCAATTTATGTTATATTCTGTATTCAGAACTACACAAGAAATTTGGCTTGGCAAAGTCAAAATACCCCATTTCATGTACTGAAATTGATTAAGTTAACTACTGAAACTTATTTTAAGATTACTTTAGTCATGTGCTATTCTTCATGAAAATTATATTTATTCTAGGCTGGTTCAGTATACAGTAGATTTACATTTAATTTAACTGATTTTATTTATACATTTTTTCCTTTTGATGTTTTAAAATTGCAATCTACAGCATGAGAAGTGTATCACAACAAACATAAAGATTCCCTTGAGTTCAGGTCAGCTCCTGGCAACTACATAAATAGATCCACTCAAGCTTTTCTGGAGGATTTACAACATGGAAATGATTTGCCATTACCTTCTTCTGAGGTATTTTTTTCTTTCAACTTTCTAATTTAGCCTACGGCCAGAGGAATTCATAGTTGTGTCCCATCCAAGTACCATATTAAAAACACCTTTGCCCTCTGAGGACATCTGTTGGGGGGGGGGGGTTTCTCACAATAAATTGCCAAACTGCTTGCTTCCACCTCCATTCCACACCTTCAACATCCACAACCCAAATGTCTGTACCAACTCTAGCACAAAAGTGCTTTTAAAAATATTAAAAAATGTAAAAAAAGAAGTGGGTTCACTAAACAGGATTACTACCTTTATCCTTTATCCTCTTTTACATTAAGAATTAGTATGTTGGTAATGTTTAAAAGGGAGAACGAAGCTGCAGCTGATGAAAGCCTATCCTTTTTAATAAAGTCTAATAGCAGGGAAAGGTGCTAACAGACTCTTGATTTTTTAAAAAAGGATGCCATCACCTTAAATCTTAATTACCAGAAATATTGCTTCTGTTTTAACACCTTACTGCTGTAAAGCTCCTCTTGTAACATTTAGGATCCTACCCTTCCCAACACTAAGTATTCCTCATGAATTAATTTTTCCTCCATTTCAGAATTAAGCTCACCTGGTTACCATGTTGATGAGCAGTGATTGTTCGCAAACAATTCTGGCATCGGTTCTTGGCAAACATATTGGCCTCAAATTTCTCACAGAGAGCATAATCAGCTGGTTCGGACATAGTCTATGCAAGGAAGGAAAGATGCCTTAGGCAAGTATTGTGGAGAGATGGAGAGAGCAGGGAGGGTAGAGCAGCTGTGAACAGATCAGGAGGCAAGACACAACAATACCCCTTGTTTTCTCCAAACTTATCAAAGAAAAAACATTTTGTACAGCCTGGTATCTACTAGCAGTTGTAAGATTGTTCTCTCATCACCTAGAAAAGAATCTTCAGATGGGAATATAAAAGCTAGAGAGATGCCTACAGTTACATGGGAATCAAACACTCACCCCACCTCCCCAAGTATATCCTGTTTAGGTAGATCTGCTATGTGCATTTTCTCAGTTGAGAAAATAATCTTAAAGAGGTTTTCTCAATCTACTGTCTCCAGTGCAACTGCAGTTCCTCCCCAAAAAAAAAAAAAGTTAGCTTGCTGGGACCCTGCACCAAGGTTACCTCCATTTCAGGTAACTCTGGTTTACAAAGGGAATACATTTTCACAGTTCTTACCTGGATGCACATAGTTCAGCAAAAGCTTTTCTAATATTAAGAAGCTATCATTGGTGTGAGTATGATAAAAGGCAGCTGAAAAAGAATTGTCTACCTAAATATCCTCTATTCCATCATCCCAGCTGGGAGATATTGCTTCTAACTTTCAGCTACATATAAGGGTGTTGCATGCTAAAATACTTGTACTTATTTTGATGCTTCCTCATTATATGTTTTCCGATGCCCAAATTTACCACATGCATCTCTCAACAGGCTTGTTCTACTTTCTAACAGATAGTGGAAATGGTGTGGGTCAACATGAAGCTTAAGACTTTGGAAAAGGAAAAGGAGACCAAATCATAACTCCCTACTTTTAACAAGATAGCAATTATTGCATGATTCCATCAATGTAAGAACCAACTTAATGCCAGTGGGTACTTTTCTGTACTTTTAATTATTTATGGTTATGAGGATATAAATATAAGTCCAATGCCTTTGACTGAACTAATTAAACACAATTGCCCTTGCCATTTAATATTTCAAACTTAACATTGGCTTTATATCCTTAATTTCCAATTTCAGTTTCTTCTGTATCTTTTTTTATATATTCTATTTCTTGTGTTATTAAGTTATGAACCCTACTGTGTTTTTTAGTGCCAGTTTGGTGTAGTGGTTAAGGCATTAGACACAAAGCCAGCTAGGTGACTTTGGCCCAGACACTTTTCCTCAGCCCTTGGAAGGAGGTAATGGCAAACTACTTCTAAAAAATCTTGCCAGGTAAACTGCATTGACTTGTCTAAGCAGTCTCAGAGAATCAGACATGATTGAATAGGAAAAAAAGACTATCAGGATTCAACATGAAAGGAATGGCTATAACTCATGCTACCATGCAGTTATATATCAACTGATTCTTGGGATAACATTAAAAAACACTCCACAGCATAAGCTTTACTACACAAGCATTTTGTGTAGTTTTTCTTCCTATCACACAAAATGTAGCTTCTGCTCATTCATTAGAAACCCAACTTAAGGAATTAGCACAATTTAGCAGTTAACAGTAATTTTTAGAAAGAAAATTAGAAACTTTTTTTACAATGCATGCTATACAAAGGCTCAAATTTCATGATCCATGTCTGCTGCACATCTTTATTTTTATATGCTTCCTTACGTGATTTTCCCCTCCTTTTCTGCCACTGTTTTAAATTATCATTTAGAAACACATAAATATCAAGCACAGTCACTTGAAACTATTCTGGAACTTAAGTTATAGAGGAAAAATTTATTGTACCCGCGAGAAATTCACAGCCTCTAAAGAATTCACTTTCTGCCTGCAACTGAAGAAAATAAAATAGTTTTTCCAATTATCAACAATTCGAAAATGTAAATTCTTTTCTACTGAAAATTTAAATAAAATAGTACCATCTTATTAAGATTTGGCTAGTTTTTAACACTAATCTATAACTAAGTAGTTTGTGACTAGAACATACCAAACTCATACATTATCATTACAGCGTATAGGAGGGAAAAAATAGAACGCACCTTGATAATGCAACTCCTACTACGCACGCCTACACTTAGTTACAACTGGAACTCTTCCACCACTGACTTTTTTTTTATGAATACAAACTTTCCTCCGAGGAAGTGGATCAGGACTCCACCCACTAGCCTCCTTTCCATTGGCTGAATGCCCCACACTCATTTGAATGTAATATGTCAATTGATTGTCTGAGAGGGGTGGGCCGATCAGCAACGAATAAAATTTCTGGCGATATTGGGAGTTTTTGAGTTGGACCTTTTTCGGCTGCGGGGTTTTTGCAATTAAATCAACGCCAGCATTTTATTACAACCCGCGTTGCGGAGTCGTTGGGCGTGGGACTGATTTCTCCCCTTCGTGCCTTCTGTCAGAGTTAGCACGCTTCCTTTCGTGCAAAGCATTATTTTCTTTCACGCTCATGAGGAGATAAAATGCTAAATAGCATACATAAACAACGACACGCGCTTTTACACCGCTTGGAATGGATCCTCTTGATTTTTGCCATGGTTATTATAGCGTCTTTGGAATCTCTCCTTTCCATGACAGTATGTGCCAACTTTTCTGGATCCCTGCTCTAGGTCAAGTCTACCACAAGAGTATATTTTTTGGCAAGGATGTTGTTGCTACTGTAGCCTTTTAGACACACAGTACTGTTTATTGTATGCATATTTAGATTTTGTTCCACAAAATGTCCTCTCAGAAACAACCTGGGTGGCGTCTAATATAGAAATCCTAAATATAAAACAGCTATCTCAAATAACCTTAACCTCCCCAAGCCCCTCTGTATAAACTTCAAATAGAACGTAACTCATGGGGTGGTTATGATGAAAAACGATAGGAGGAAACACTATGAGTTCCCCCATGAATTCTGGACAAATGAATCAATGACTATCTTCATTGAATCAGGATATAAATCAATCCCCAATATGTTGACTGACAAGGTAGATTCTATTGCAATTATCTGTGGTTTTTTTCCTCATCTCTCATATACAATTTATCATTGTAGCAATGTCTTCTCCCTTTTCTCTCAATCTGTCTTCCCCCCTTGAAAACCTTTCTTTTAACACTCTGTAGTTGGATCATCATTAATCAGGATTATGTTTCTCTTCTTTCTACACAAGAGGAATTTTGATTAAAACAAAGCTTAAGCATCTCTTTCTAGACCACCCAAGCTTACTCTTCTGCATATTAGTAGGAAAAACTAATCTGTTGCACATTTAAGTACATATACAGTAATTATGGATGGCCCCCAGATGTAGCAAGCCAAATGATGATATACCCTGCCATCCTATGCTATAGTAGCAGATAGAAAAATAACTAGTCATAAAGCATTACAAGCAATTCCACCATTATCTGCTCATACAACACACAGTCAAAATCAGATAAACTACATTAGAACTTAATCTCATCTAAGAACCAACCATTGTAGCAGCCATCTCCAGTCTGGCATCCTCCTCCATACATCTTGGCCATACTGGCTGAAAATTCTGAAGCCAGAATCCAAACACATCTGGATGGCATCAGGATACGGATTGGTCTATATGTTCATTTAATGGGGAAGGGGGGGGAATCTTCAAAGGAGGCAGGGAAGAAATGCAAAAATTCTACTTCAAGGTACATATGCTCTCTGGAAATTAGGATCAAAGGCAACCTCCCTTTCATTGCCATCCACTGGAGAACAGTGAGAATATTAATAATAAACCTCATGTCTTAATTACTGAACCTATGGTGGAATACCGATACTGAAATTAGTCTGATCCAGCAGGCTCTCTAAATCCCCCCCACTTGTCTGGTGTTTTCCTGTCTTCCTGCAATCCCCGTTATAGAAGTGGAGCTGAGCTATCTGGCAGTTGTTTGTACTTCAGAGCAAAGTTAGCAACCTGGTCTCCAAATGTTTGGACTAACTCCCATTAACCATATTCGCTGGAGACAGTGGGCTGCCTATATGTTTTAAAGTGTTGAGGGAATAATTCCAAGATGATATTCCTGCTAACAATTCATTTCTTATGCTTGTTTCTACTATATTTAATGCTGGAGTATTTTCCATGTCCAAAGTCCACTCAAGATATTAGCAGCTAATCATTTTATGCTATGTATTCAATACAGGTTCCTGGTGATGAACTGTATTTGGTGCATGATTAGATTCTCTGTTCCAACATGACATTAGAGGAAGACATACTCACCATAAATTCACCACCAACTCCTATGGAGTCAGGAAAAGCAGCCTGCTAGCATAAAGTGAGATGGGCAGAGGTTGCAGTCGTGATTTTCCAAAAATTGCAAAAATATAGCCATCATACTATTAACTAAATCCACTAATAAGTGCCCCCCAAGGCTTCCCCTCCTGATTGTAATGCAAATTTGGGACAGTGTTGGAGGAGATATTCTTTTTAATACTTGGATCCTTACAACTTTACAAATTAATCTCAACACTCGAAGTACAGTTCAGTAATCATAATCAGTGTGACACTTTCAGGACTAGTGTGATATGGGCTTTATATCCATCCCTCTCAATAATTAAGCCGATGCAGTCTGTGCCAGTTACAGCTTTTGGGCTGAATTCAAGATAGCTTCATGAAGAATTCATTGCAGCAATCCAATCCACAAGTTTCTTGGGCATGGAAGACTGACATTATGATGGAGCTATCCCAGTCCATGTAGGATAGTAGTTGGCACGTTTGTCAAAGCTAGATGTGGGTATGCAAGTATCTTCTTTAAAAGATTGTACCATCCCATTTTTTGTTTGAAGGCTTTCCAATAACTGAGAAATCAGAAACATACTCTCCTCCCTCACCCTTCCCCAAAACAGGAAACCACCCAACTGCCATGAACCTAGTCTTTCTGGCATTTAGCCTTCAAAGACAAGGAGCAAAAATACTTTTATCTAGCAAGTGCTGCCTTTCAAAGTCCTCACATGACTGAGGCCACAAGACACATATACAGCTTGACCTCCAGGCCTCACCTCTCCCCCTTTCCCCTCCTCTGAGTTCCCCATCATAATGCATTATTTCTCTGGGCTCTGTAACCAATTACAAATAGATCAGAAATATTTTGGTTGGTGTGATTATTGCCAGGGCACAAGCAACAGCATCTGCATTGGCTTTCTCCCCAGCTTTCCAGACTGCTGTTAGAACATAATACAGAAAATCCCTCTTCCTGCCTCCTGTTCTTTTGCTGGATGGGCAAAACAATACTCTTTTTGATCTGGAGATCTAATTCAAGAATTAAAAATGGCAGATGCCTTGACATTTCAATGTATTGTAATTAAATGATGCTCAGACACAGAGCCAACACTTTGAGAGAGGGCCTCTTCAGAACAAAAAACAAAGCAAAATGCAGTGTTATGAATCCAGCTAAAGAAACATTTGGCTCTTGGTCGTTTTAAAAAGTCTCTGACAGCTAATAGATCAAGTATGTGGTTTTAAAGTGTAGATATGGATTCATTCCCACTGCTTCCATAAATTCATGTGAGCATCAGCAAGTTACTCCTTGGGAGTATTTACTGGGAATGGGGGCAGAGTCTATGTTTTGCCATGAGAGCAAAAACAATTCAAAAAGTTAACTACTTTTATCTTCAATGCTTGTTTATGAGTAGTGACGTAATCGTTGGCATGTGTCACAAGAATTTATGAGAAACATGTTTCCTCATCAAGAGATGAAAATTAATATGAATAATAGTAAAAAAAATGTGCAAGAAGAAAATATTGCTATTATCTGTGCTAGCCTTACCCAACCTGATACTTGACAGATGTGTTGCACAATATTTGGGTGTTTGTCCCAACAAGTGGAAAACACCTGGTTGACCAAGGCTACTCTTTTATACTTGTTTCTTTTTCTGAATCCAATACATGAAACGTTATTGCATGGAGATAAGAACTTGAATGCAATTATTAATGTGATCTCCACCAGTTTTGGGAAACATGATATTAATCAGGGATCTAATCTCTCTCTGGGGAAAAAAGGCCTTTGTCCACCCAAATAAGGGGAAGTTGAATGAGAGAGGTCTTTCCCAGCAGGAGACCTACACAAACCAAGATTAGGTTTGCTTAATTTGTATGGGCTCTTAGCTCCTGGAACACCAAGTATCACCTCTCCTCTGCAATCCTGAGCAGAAGATTGTGTTCACATAACACTGATCTTCCTCCAAGCCAATTAGTAGAGTTTAATAGTCCATGTGTCAGCCATTCAGTCTTGGACATGCCTCCTCCTGCCACCTGTCATTTTCCGGCGCTGGGACTTGCTCGTTCGTCCTGTTCTTATGATTTGGCCTCTGTTCTTTGTCCCTTGTTTGTGGTTGATCTTTTTTCTTTTCCCCTTTTTCTGAGTACGGGAATGCAGAGAAGCAGTGAGGGAAGAAATTCTGTGGATAAGAGAAGAAAATAATAATTGTTTCTTAATTTTAAAAAATAAAAGCTAGCTTTTAATTATCAGGTTTATTCACCCTCACCTATGTTCCTTGTAAACATAGCTGCTGTGGTTTTCAAACTACCAGTAGTCCTTGACTTACAACCACAATTGGAACTGGAATTTCTGTTGTTAAGTTGTTGAGGTCATAAGTCAAATTAGACCTGATTTTACAACAATTTTTAAGCAGTTGTTAAACAAATCACTGCAGTTGTTAAGCAAATCCAGCTTTCCCAATGGGTGTTTTTTTCTGGAAATTGGCAAAAAAGGTTGCAAATCATGATTAATGTGCCACAGGATGATGCAACTGGTCATAAATATGAATCGATTGCCAAGCTCCTGAATTGTGATTATGCGACCCTGGAGATGGTCATATGCCCAAGTATGTTATATTTTTTTTCCAAAGCTATTGTGTCTTTGAACAGACATAAAATGAAAAGTTCGTTAGTCAAGGGTATTATACTGGTTTATTCAATGGCATTATAGTGGTTTATTCAAGAAATCATGATTATAAACACAGCTCAGAGCTATGTATGTCCATCCAGTTTTAGGATCTTTAAATATTTAAAGACAATTCTGAGCTCTAAAGAGAGACAGTAAACAGATAAGAAAAAAAATTAGTCTCCTTGGACTAATTCTGACTTGAATGTTCCTCTTATTTATAGAATTGCCAGTCCTCTTCTCTTCTGTTTTATTTTTACATGCATTTAAAAAATAACTGTACATCTGAAATTCTCTGAGCAGATTATAAAAATTAAAACAATACAAATTGCAGCACTATTAAGAGATAACAAATAAATCCATACTGAGAAAATAAACTCTGCAGCAATGAATTTAGAACAGGAACTGTAAAATAAAATAAAATAAAAATTTCCCAACATATTTAAAAGGACTAAAAAACTAACTAGTTTGCCTGGTGGGAGAAATATATTTATACAGACAAAGGGATAGGTGTAGGAATATTTTTATACTTTCTAAGGAAGGTATACGAACCAACCAGCAGTGAGAAGGTTCTTCGGTCACATTTCTTCCTAACTCAGCCAGTAATATCTTTACATAAATAACACTTTCACATAATCCTCTATGCCCTCTTCCACATGACCGTATCATACTTACCTCTACTTTTTATTTTTAACATCACTTGACAGCACACCCCATACGTATCTACTCAGAACAAAAACCCTTTAAATTCAATGGAGTTTACTCTCCATCCAATGTTAGAATAATCTCTAAGCAAATCTTCAGAGAACAGTTGGGACATTCTGAATGGTTTGGTAATTGAAAGTAAGTCACACAACTGTAATACCTCTCAGACAGAAGTGGATCTCTAGATTTCTTAGGCAATGTAGATGTATTCAAGGTGTCTTCTCCTTCTGGGTCAGTATTTTCGTTCTAAAAAGAAGACACGTGAGCGAATAAAGAACACCACAATAAAACCTAGACATGCAACTAGAAACATGATTTGATTTTCTAAGCAAAATATTAAAATTTCAGATTAAACGTTAACACTTTAAATTAAAGAATAGTAGCAATCAACACCAAGACCAAACATGTAGAGCCAAAACTTGGCACCAATCATTTAGCACAGTGGTGAACTGTAATCCATAAATTATAGTTCGGAATTTGACTTCTAGTTGGATTCAGACAAGCTATTCCCTTCCATAAACTTTGGGAATAACAGCTCAAAAGACATTATATTCAAACACAGGATCTTGCATATTTGGATGCACAAATACATATAGTATAGCAATAGCACTTATATACCACTTCACAGTGCTTTATAGCCCTCTCTAAACAGTTTACACAGTCAGCATATTTCCCCCAACAATCTGTGTCCTCATTTTACCGACTTTGGAAGGAAGAAAAGCTGAGTCAACCTTGAGCGGGTGAGAATTTCTGGCAGTCAGCAGAATTAGCCTGAAATACTGCATTCTAACCACTACACCACCATGGCTCTTGCATAGTGATTAAAGAGTCAAATTATGGCTGTGGGGATCACAGATTAATACCTACTGAGCCATACTCCTCACTGAGGGATGTTGGCCAGTCTTGGGCTCTTCTTCCAAGCCTCTTTTGCATATTTTATTTTTGTGCCTCCCAGATAATGTTGATTCCTGATGACGGTCTGGACTAGAAATTTAAGATCAAGTTATTTCCCAACACACCTCTGGGTGAGGTTATCCATTGGCATGGGGTTAAGTATCATTAATCAGTATGTTAATGGTACATAGGTTTCCATCTCTATCCTGGACTGACCAAACAATGCCTTCAGATTCTCTGTGTCTGGAGGTCTTGGGGGTTTAGATGGGGAGATAAAAGCTTTGGCTTAACCCAAACAAAACTGAGTAGCTGTGGGCTTGTTCACTCTGCCTCCCCGCACCTCACTTTGGATGGGATTGGTATTTATAGATGTACCATGATCATGGTTACAACATAATCACTGCTTTGCAAGTAGCGCTCACTTATCAGCTTCTGGGTGCAATTCAAAATCCTGGCTTTCACTGATAAAGCCCTTTATGGCACAGGGCTGGGTTAATTAATGAACCAGCTATTATGGATAGCTGCCCATTCTACAAAATCCAACAGAAAGGGTGTGCTTTGAGTGCCTTCAAAGAAATAATACTACTTAAAGGATGTATGAGGAAGACCTTTTAAAATTATGGAGGCACACATATGGAGGCTTTGCAACAGCATATCCCGAGATCTGGACAGCTCTGAATTTCTGTATGACTTTAAAAACCTCCCTCTCCCTCTCTCCCTCTCCCTCTCCCTCTCCCTCCCTCTCTCTCTCTCTCACACACACAGTAAGATATTGGATGAGCCTGTTTGAAAAAAAGGTTTAGGATGTTGAAATGTTGTGTTTTTGTGCCATTTTATATTGCATGGTGTGGTCCTACAATTATTATTACTTGTCTGCCTTTTACATCTAGGTTAACCAACTAGAGTTGCATTTGTGAGTTGGGCAGCCATATAAAAATTATCTATAAATATTTTTTGTTAAATTATCAAGTTAATAAACAAGTTAATTAAAGACAGATATATTACCTCGGTTAGCCCCAGCACACGAGCACCAGAAAGGTCCAAGTCACTGATGGTAGTAACAGTGACCGTATGGTTTGGGTGATCATAGCTCACCGATTCTGTTTGAGATGTCACTAAATGTTCCAACTCGTCAGCTTCCTCTGAGAAGATGAAAGAAGTACATTCATAATTTTTCTGTGCAAAGGCAGTTTCTTCAATCACTCTGTTAAAGAATGGCATCTATGTTCTAAATGAAAACCTTATGGAAGGAATTCTTTAAGCTTAGACCTTTCAGCCCTGCTACATTCTATTATTCCTTTATATATGTGGGTTTAATGACATTTGATGCCTCCACCTCCGTAACTTTAAACTGGAATATTTTAAGAGATGATAATCCTTGAAGCAGGTTCTTTTGTTATCTGTATTTGCCACATAATCAACATTTACTACACTACACAATTCTGCCAATGATGGATAAGCTTCTTCAAGCTATTAAAAATAACTCCACACATCTCTTTAGCCATATCCTGACAGCTTTACCTTTTCATTTGCATCATTTACCTATGAAAATATTCATTTTTATATGTATATTTTCTACAATATTTTCTACTGTTTATTATAAGAGTAAAACCTAATAAAAATATACATAAAGAGAAGAGAAAGAGTTAATAGTGTAATGAATAAGGAAAAAAGAGAAAAGTAGGAATATAAAAAAATGTCTTCCAATCTTCACTACAAATTTAAAAAAAATTAGTGACTCTTCACTTCTTACAATTATTTCTTCATCTCACAATCCCATTGCTTATCTATAAATAAATCCATAAAACATCATCTTTTCAGTCCTGGGGTCAGCAGGAAGTCTATACAGTAATCATTCTTCTAAAGACAGAAAGCTTACACAGTGCAACAAAAAAATCAGCACTGAATCTGTCTCCTTCAAACTGTTTGTAATTAACAGCAGTGGCCTAAACATAATCATACTGAGCAATATAGAAAACAACACCTAGTAAAAGTGCGCTAAAGATTATAGATTAGCAAAACTAATTCATTAACAGATCAAATGAAGATATGGTTTGAATCATGAATCATATTCATTTAACCTTATTTTAGAGAAGTTGTATTGATCAGCCTTCTGTTGGGTTAAGTTGTCATCTTATACATTTTGGGATTCCAGGCTAGGTTACATCTTCAAATAGGACACTTACCTAAGGCTTCTTCTCTCTCCTTCAACATCTTCATGTATTCTTTATGTCTCTACAAGAGAAGCAAACAAATAGATATTCCAAGAGTTTTCAGATCATCTCCTAAATTGCCTCATTCAAGTTGCTAGTTAAAATCCTGCCAATGAGAAGTCATGCACCACTTCTTCCTACTATATTGTGGTAGTATAGTATTTGGTAGAATTGTGGTACTGTGTGGTATTTCCATATCAACTTATAAAAATCAATTTACTCTATATTATACTATCATAGCCTACAAAATCTGGAATCTCCCTTAAAACAAGCCAGTATAAACCATGGCGCCCTAAGCAAAGCTCTCTCTTTTCCCCACAAAATCTTTGCCTCAAAATATAAGCCATACTTGGAGGTACTCCATTTTATTTCCAAGCACATATGTCTCTGTTGTTTAGTCAAAAGTAAGGCCTGTTTAATTTGGTAATACACTGGTATAACATAATTAGAGTTGAGTCAAAATGGTGAGGGTAAGCTTGCTAAAATAGCAAGCAAATGCAATTTACATTTTTGAAGTTTCAATAATAAAAGGCAAAAATGAAGGCAGCTATCAAAAATGTTTGAAAAAAGTCATTTTTGGAAGGAAACAGTTCTGCCTTACTTTTGCAGCTGTTGCAGCCTTCCATTTCCCAGACATATCTCAGATGAAATCATACCTCTTCCTTCATCTTCTTTTCTTCCTCCTTTAGTTTGCGCTTTATTTCCTCCAAAGCTACTTTCCTCCTCTCAACCTTACGTTTGTGAAACCCTGTCAAGAACTCCCTGGAAAGAATAAGCACAGTATAGTAGGCAGCAATAAGTTAGGATTACCTTCTGCCTATGGAATCAGTATTCTACAAATAACTTATCCTGCACGATCAGTAGGCAAATATATACAAAACTTTTACCTATAGGCAAAAGCATGCAACAATTTGCCCATATTAAACATGCAGACTAACTTAGAAGTACAGGCTGGCTCCTGCAATACATTCCTTAAGAAGAGTCTAATTCATTTGTACAGGAAAAATGGCAGAACAGATTGGATAACCATAAAGTCTGGAAGCTATGATTTTTTTTAAGCCTCTCAGGGAGTAATACAATTGCAATTGGGACCAGCAACTCCTTTGCTAAGGGATATGGCTGTTAAGTGAACTGCCAGACTTACATCGGTTCCACTGCAGGCATAAAGTGAATCATCCAAGGTTAAGCATGGCATCATATGACTGACTTCCTGGTGGCTTCTCCATTGATTCTGCTTGTTGGAAGCAAATGTTTGGTTTTTAAGAAGAGCCTGGACAGTCACTTGTCTGAAATGGTATAGGGTCTCCTGTTTGAACAGGGGGTTGGACTAGAAGACCCCCAAGGTCCTTTCCAGCTCTATTTTGATTGACTGAAGCCAACTGTGAAGCTCACAAATGGTGATCACATGACCATGGGATGCTGCAACAGTTGTGTGAAGACGACCAGTCATAAAACTACTTTTTCAGCAGTTATATAACTGAGCAATCATTAAATTGGGCAGTTGTTAACTGAGAATTATTTATACTTCTGAATGTCCAGGTAGCCTTGTGTGATTCTGTTCCCCTAAGTGAGCTAGTTTTCTTGGCAATGTAACTGTTACCCATTTTATCTTAGCTTATCTACACAATAAGCAGAATAAACAGAACAATAAGCAGAACAATAAACAGACTTTCTTTCCTCCACATTTCACTTCTCTATTTCCCTCTTAAGCTGAAAAAAAAATCCATATCTGTTCTACTTGGCAGCACAAAGAAAACATTAACCCAGCTACTATCTGAAGCATGTCTGGATAGCTGTAGCTCAGATACGGCCCTAAGCAAGAAGGATGAAGAGGCAAAGGCCAAGAGAGTAAAGAAGTAACTGTGAATGTGAACTGTGAGCCTTGGTAGTACAGTGGTCTAAAGCACCCTGTTATTAAGAACAGCTGCCTGCAATTACTGCAAGTTCAAATCCTACCAGGCTCAAGGTTGACTCAACCTTCCATCCTTTCTAAGGTAGGTAAATTGAGGACCCAGTTGTGGGGGCAATAAGCTGACTTTGTAAAAATATACAAAAGAATGAAGGCTATTGCTTAGCGCATTGTAAGCCGCCCTGAGTCTCCGGAGAAGGGCGGCATATAAATTAAAAAAAAAAATGTCAACCTCCAGAAAGAAAATTGGATTTTACTCTTTGAAAAGCTGGTTAACTATTTTGTGGATTGTTTCTAAACCACGACATTTACTTGATTTCACCCAGACGAAGAGGAGAGTAACTCTCATCACGCTCCACCAGCATCAACCAGCCATTTGAATAGGTTCTGTAATCCAAAACACCTGGAAGGAACGACATTGGGGAAAAATCTACTTTGGAGAGAATTCAGAAATTCTAGCAAGTTGCCCCTTTTGTAAATAAATTCATTATGCCCTACATTCTGTTGCAGGTGTGTACTAAAACTTAGTCAGGTAAAGCAGTTTTTTTTTTCAAACTTGGTCATTGGCTAGGAATTCTTGGAATTGAAGTCCACTCATCTTAAAGTGACCAACTTTGAAAAACATTATTGCAGAGGTCTTCAAACTTGGCAGCTTTAAGACTTGTGGACTTCAACTCCCAGAATTCTCCAGCCAGCATAGCTGGCTGGAGAATTCTGGGAGTTGAAGTCCACAAGTCTTAACGCTGCCAAGTTTGAAGACCTCTGTACTAAAGCAACACGTGTCTGAACCTTGCAGCAAGGATCCCTGCTCAGCTTTAACTCTTCTCTAGCTCTGCAAAGAGCCTCCCGGTAAACCTCCTCTCCACGCAGGAGGCTTCCCACGGGAGGGATCCGCACACCGAAAGATTATACGTCGCCCAGCGAGGGACTAGGGGTAGATCTACTCGCCCTGCTTCTTCCTCCTCCTCTCCCGGACTCACCACCGACTCTTCTCATCGAAAGACACGACTCTCCGGAGCATCGGAGCCCCATCGCGCCGGCCCTTCTTCTTGCGGCCCATGCCGGCGATGACTCCTTCCGACTCCGCCGGCAGAAGCGCAAACCAATGCACCGCCTCTTCCGTCCCGCCGTCGCCTCCTCCATGAGTCTTTGCAGAAAGCTCCGCCTCTGCTCTCACCTTAATTAATCATTGTTAGGCTTGTTATATGATTTACCAAGCTCTTTTTTTTTAAGTCATGCAATCGTTACACAACTTTTGAAACTGCCCTGCAGTATCCACAGTCGAAATATTTTGGGGGCCTGGCAGGAACCTATATACGGCTGCCCTTGTGGTTAGTTAGCCAAAAAATGAGCAATCTGATCATACGGATAGCAAAGGCTGTTTTGGCATGGGTAGTTTCAAACATACGCGAAATCATACTATGATTGTGGTTTACTTTTGTGTGAGCCCAGTGTGGTTTGCAACCTTGTTGCAAGCACAAGATTTAAACTTGTGTTTCCATTTCTTTTAGTAAACCATGATGAAGCAAATTGGGTTAGGATTATGTGTGGGGAAAAAAATCTATATCTCAGTCTGTCATCTGAAGTTTTAAATTTCAGTTTCTGTGGAACATATGGGTAGCTTGCACTTTTAAATGGTTTCCTGGATCTTTCACTTATACCTTCTCCAGTATATGCACCAAGACAAATTCCTTGTGTGCTCAAACACACTTGGCCAATAAAAAATTCTGTTCTATTCTATTCTATTCTATTCTATTCTATTCTATTCTATTCTATTCTATTCTATTCTATTCTATTCTATTCTATTCTATTCTATTCTATCCTATCCTATCCTATCCTATCCTATCCTATCCTATCCTATCCTATATGCATGTGAAACTGCTCTCTAAAGTTCACTCACGGGTACAAGCCGTAAAACTGATCTTGTACTTTTCTTACAGAAAAAAATAACCAAGTGACTGCATAAATAAGCAGTAAACAGGCTCCCTGGGGGAAGGCAGTAGGTAGATTGAGATCTAGCAATAGTACTTAGACTTTACAACACTCTAAGTAGAGTCAGCAGCAATGGTTCCTGTTGGCATCCTATGTATCACCTCTCCTTTGCAAGCTGCATTGGTTGCCAGTTGGGTTCCAAATACAATTCAGTGTTCTGGTTTTTACCTATAAAGCGCTGTATTGTATAGAAGCCTGGAGAGCTGAGGGACCTCTTATCCCCAATTGTTTCTGCCAACCTGGTTTCTTCTGACAGACTGGGTGTGTTCCAGGTTTCCTTTGTTAAAGATTGACATCCTGTGGGACTGAGAAAGCATGCCTCCTCTGTCACAACCCGTACGCTCTGGAACAGCTTCCATGCAAAGGTAATGATGGTTCCCTCTCTGTAGAATTAAAGAAAGCCATGAAAACCTCATTTTTGTGTCACCTTTAAATAATTTTAGTCCAAACTGTATGATTTTATGTATCCATTTTTATAGACTTTGTCTTGGTATGTACATTGCCCAGATTCCATCAGAACTATAATACATTTAAATAAATAGATAAAGCTATAAAAAGGATCCTTTTCTAAATGAAGCTGTCAGACATTATTGATCGTTGCATAGTACAACCTTGGGATGTAATGGATAGTCAAATTTACCTTCTGAACCACAATTTGTTTCCAGCTAAATCCAACCTCTAATTTGCATATAAAACAAATTAGTTGTGGTTGTTTCGCTTTTGGTAAAAAAGTAAAAGTAAAAAAAACCCTAATAATCCTTGATGCTTGTCCAACTGTGGTGGAAAATTACAGATTCAGTGCAATGGTCACAAATAGATGGACATTGCTTGAAAATGTAAATTTATCTTCATCCTGAATTACCCTGGAGCTACAACCTAGTTCTGATAGCCCCCACTGGACAGACTCAAGTCATTGAATTGGTCATTTTGCCTTTTCTTTCAAGTCTTCAATAAGACTACCAGTTCTGGATAGCAAAAATCCAGACTGTCTCTAGATAACAGCATAATTAGAATTTTGTGTATTTGATTTCTGCCACTTTTAGTGCTCATCAGGATTTTTGTAGCCCAGTTTGAGCACTTTTATGGAGACTTTATTTCATGGAAGCAGTAGGCAAAGTGGAATTGGAGGGTCTTTTAAGGGGACCTGTTTGTCACGCATAGAAAAATTCAGGACAACTTGAATGTGTTTGATTCATCTTGAAGTTCACTTACCCCATCCACCCCTTTTTAAAAATCTCCAAATACGATTCATGCCAATAGGTGACTGATTACAAGTACTCTGAACTTATCAAACAGGTGGGGAAGTTACACACAGTATTGGTAATCACAGAGCAGTCTGCAAAGTGCTTAAACTTATGAGCTTGTCCTTTAGCCCCTTCTGAGATGGAAAATCCGGTTCTGTGGTTAATAGCTGTACTTCCCTTTAAGTTTACACCCACAGGGTTGGTCTTCTGAACTACAGCACACTCCTGTCACTTGAGCCTACCTAACACCCTTCAGCCTGAACTTGCTTTGGATTACAAAATCAGTCTATCATTCAAGTTGCCGTGCAGGGACACTGACTGTTGTTTTCCTGTCACTCTTCCCTTGCAAAAAAGAAAAGAAAGGAAAATCTACCTCTCTACCTAAGTCCGGTCTCCTGTACATGTGGAGGAGAGAGAAAAAAGGCCCTGGAGGGTTAAAAAGCAACTGAGAAAAATGGCTGCAGAAGATGAGAGGAATACAAACCTCCTCCAGGAAGTTTGGAAGAGAAAAGAAAATGCCATGTGTGCAGATTGCGGGCAGCCTGGTAAATAAAGGGGGAAATGGTGGTGGTAGGAGAAATGAATAACTAGCAAAGATAGCTCTTGAAAAAAAGCAATTGCAGTAACTTGGAAGAAATTCCAAGATGGAGGAATTATGCCTGGCATTTAGGACAAGGAAGAGATAGTTAATATTATATGATTTCTTAAATATGTCATGGAATGTTGTGCATGCTATATATTGTACGTTAAATATTTTATTCTACTAAGGATTAAGAATTCTGTAACTCTGCAGACAGTAGTATCCATCTAACACCGGAATGTGCCTGCCGTTCTCTCTGTGACTTTCCATTCAGAGATGAGAATCTATGGTCAATTCAGATGTTGCTGAATTACAATTCCAAATGGCCGTCATGATTGGCCATGCTTCCGATGGGTGGTGGGATTTGAAGTTCAGCATCTGGACGTAGGTAGGAAGAAAGATTGCTTCCACCACCAAAGAATAAGAGTGAATTCCTTGGAAGATAGAAATGAAGAATTGTAGCACTACTGTATGGAGATTGTAAAAGGACCAGGAAAGCATGAACTCACTGGACTTTATTTAAGAGAAGGACTACAATCCAGGTAGAAACAAATATGTGAAGGTATCCAGTTTTTTGAGGTATCGAAGAAAAAGATTGGTTTATTGGGGGAAAACTTTTTTTTTCAAATACAGGAAATGGGTGTAATTAAAAAAACCTTAAGCATTGATGGGGAGAGGGGCTGTATCCTGCAGTTGGCATGTACATTTGTGGTTTAACAAACCCCTTGGGCTGCAGGGCTGGGTGGACCTTTGACTTGGAACTGATGCAGGCCCCTGAGAGGCACATAGAATAAAACAATGGACTATTATCTAATAAAATCTTTTGCATAAGGTATTCTTTGGCCTTCAATACTATAAACAGAAACGGCAGCACACAGCTTTTTAATCTTGTTTGCATTATTTACAGCTTGGGTAACCTGGATCAAAAGGACAGACATGTCCTTTGATAGGACATGGAGTTTCCCAATTCTCTGATATCACCATATTTTTGCCAGGCCCTTACAAGTGTTCCCACAAAATGCAGGAGGTTGATCTGGGATTTTGATTTATTTTAAAAATATTTGCAGAGGCTTGCCTCCTAAGGAAAAAAAATGGTTTAGGGGATTTATATTTTTATTTTGGATGGCACCAACTTCACCCTTAAAACTACCCCAAAATAGAACAAAAAAGGACTGCCCTACTAATTTCATGACATCACAGTATTGTGTGGCCTATACAGTCCAAGCAGGACTCTGCAAAAGGCCCCAAGGAGAGTCCATATCAGTTCTTGACTGATAAATAACCTTGAGACATTAGGTTGAGGAAAGGTATTGCAACTTATGAAGCAGCAGCAGCAGTGTTAATTAACTGATGGCTATTTGGACTTAGGCTCCCTACGATTTATTGTGCTGAACCTCACAACAGTCAGTCCATAGCCACTGATGTTGTTTGATTCTGTTCAGATCCTTGCTGGGTCTCCTGTACTTTGGGTACTTTCATCTGCTGTGAGTGCTCAGAAATACACTACAAGATCCCTAACATAAGTGAAGTTAAATCAATAAAGAAGAATTGCTGGGAAGAAAGCCAGATACAGGTGAGTACTATCCTGAGAAGTTTCTTGGCCTGGTATTTGTTTTGGTCGTGTAACCATCTTTTCTCTCAGATGCATTGAGGGAAGCAGATGGCAAAAGAGGGAAAATTATTTTTTGCTGCAGACCACTTGTGTTTTTGAGCAGCATATTAAGCAAAAGGGTATAGCGGTGTAAGAATTCAGAAAAGGGTTCAAGAAAAAACCCTCTCAATCTCAGATGCTGTTAGGCCTTTGATGTAGGACAGGTCAAGAAACTGGTGCAGCAAAGATTTTAGGAGTCTGTTTTACTGTAATAAGGTAGAATAACAGTATCTTGAAAGCCTGTCCAGGTTTCTCTCTGTCCAACCTTTTCCTAAACAAAATTAAAGGCACGGTTACTTTGAGGGTTTGTTTTTTTCTTTCCTTTTTTGGTGTGCCTTCTTGATTCCTGGCAACAGCCTGGATGTGTCCCTGCAGTTTTCTTGGCAAGGTTTCTTGAAGTGTTTTGCCATTGCCTCCTTCCTAGACTGAGACAGAGTGAGTGTCGCAAGGTCACCAAGTCAGGATTAGAATTCCCAGCATCGTGGTCTCTAGCCTGATGCCTTAAGCACTAGACTAAACTGTGTTCTTTTTCAATACTGTGTAATCAATTCCCCAAGCCTCCTCTTTAATGGCTTGCTTCTTCCTTCCAGAAGGTCAGCTCTGCATTCCTTTACAGGCGCTAATTGAGGAAAAGTTTTCTACAGATG